GACCAGGCCAGAGGACAGCTAGTGCAAAGGCCCTAAAATGGGACGTACACCTGGGTTAAGGAGAGAAAGCAGGCTGGTTCATGTTGGAGAACGTAGACGTGGTGGCTACTGAGTACTTGTCATTCCTTTGCTTAGTCTCCCTGTGCCCCACTCCCAGAAGCCATCCTTGGCCAGCCTCTCCCTCTTTGCTGCTAATGGTGGCTTAGAAAATACTTGTTAGGTAGAGTGATGGTTCCAGAAGTCAATATCCAGTTTATCAATATTGAGTTTTGTAGCTGACTGCCACAGTTGAGGGAGTTTGGACAGACTTTTTGATAATACAATAGTCGTCATTTGTACTAGCTCTATAGTGCCTCTGCTACTTGTAATGGCTCAGTGCTGAGGTGCTGGAGAGATAGAATAGGCTATGGAAGGGAAAGTGAGCTAGGTTGGAACCTGTGACTCTGGCAAGCTGGACTTTGACCTCTCACTGACAAAAGAGATAATTTAGCAAAGATGCCACCCAAAGATAAAAGCAGCCTTGAAATGCTTTCTTTAAAAATTGAGTCCTGAGGGCTGGGGCATGGTTTTATCGTAGAACCCTTGTCTGTCAAGCATTTATTTTTTAATTTTCCTTCTCTTTTTTTTTTTTGTTGAGGGAGAGAGAGACAGACGGACACAGGAGAGAAGAATGTGCTACGCATGTCCATGAGCCTATGTAGAGGGCAGAGGAGGACATCGGGTGTCCTACTCTATCATTTTCTGCCTTATTCCTTTGAGATAGTCTCTCACTTCACTGAACCCGGAGCTAGGCTGGCAACCAGCAGGCCCAGAGCTTCTCTTGTCTCTGCTACCCATAGTGCTGGGGTTACAGGTGTGTGTGGCCATGCCGGCCTTTTTATACAGGTGCTAGAGATTTGAACTCAGATCCTCATGTTTTCATAGCAGACACTCTTACCCATTGACTCATCTCCCCAGCCCTTTCTTTTTTCTTTTTTCGGGGGGAGTTAATAAGGATATTTTAATGTAGATTTTAAGCACGGGATTAAGAGAAATATGCTCAAAAAAGGAAAGACACACCAGAGCATGAATGTGAGCTTCTCAAAGAAGAGTCACAAAAAGTAATGTATACCCTGAGTGTAGTTATCAGCTTCAAAAGGAACAGTACCCTGTTTTTCTTTCGGTTGTTGCCTGGCATGCTTGGGCCTCTGGATTTGGTCCCTAGCATAGTGAATATGTGTGAAAAACAAACAGAAATCCCCAACTGTGTCCTGTGAGAATATCTGAGTATCTAGGTTTTGTCTCTTGCTTTCTCGGGTTGAGAAAGGGATTTCATTTTGCCCCCCTTTATCTGTGGTCTCTTAGCTACAGGAGTGGTCAGTAGGTGGGCAGTGGTCATTCTCTGAAGTGACTCTATTAGCCCAGTGCCAAGGGCTGTTAGGAATATGCCTTGTCTTGGAGTTTTAGCCATAGCAAGTGGAAAAGCAGTGCTAGCCACAGGCCAGCAGATCTTGCTCCTGATACGGCCATTTAGTAGCTTTGTGACTGTGAAGAAATCACCTCACTGAGTCTCATTTGCCTCTATTTTAATTTTTTAATTAAATTAAATTAACTAGTTTTGAGATAGGGTCTTGCTATATATCCCTTGGCTGGCTTTGAGCTCACAGTCCTGTCTCTGTCCCCTGAGTGTTGGAATTACTGATGTTCCACACCACACTCAGATCCTCCAGTTGACTCTACTTTGCAGCTAAGGAGTTAGTTAATGGTTGGTAAGGTTCTCTTTCCTACATGGGATGATTCTAAAGAGTGATAGGTTTCCTCTACTGGGATCTGGCTTGGCATTTCTGCATTACATCTGAAGCTCTAAATTGTTCCTTTGTGAACTTAGAATGTTCTTTACCTTGAAGCAGCTAATCTCACTACCAGCTTCTAGGCTGAAACTTCTGATTCTTTCATGGTGCTTTCCTCAAAGTAGAGCACTTTGTGAAAAGAATTAAAAATTGAAGGCTACAACTATAGCTTAGTGGTGGAGCATTTAGATAATTTATATGAGATAATGGAAAAAAATAAAATAAATTTAAAGAGTAGAAACTAGGCTTGGTGGCTCATATCTGTAATCCTAGCACTCAAGAGACTGAAGCAGAATTGATGTGTGTTCAAGGACAGTCTGGGCTACAGACTGAGACCAGCCTGGACTACATAGCAAGACCCTATCTCAAGAAAACAAAACAAGGGGAGCAGTGAGATGGCTCGGCAGGTAAAGGTGCCTGTCACCAAGCCTGATGACTTGAGTTCCATTCCAAGGACACACATGGTAGAAGGAGAGAACTGAGTCCCTCAAGTTGTCTTCTGACCTTGTATAAGCTCTGTGGTATATGTGTGCCTACCTCACCATGTAGACTAAATATATAAATAAATAAAAAATATTTTTAAAAAGTGGGGTTCCATGGCCAAATGAGTTTGAGAATAGGTTAAATACTGTCATCAGTTGTTTTTTTTTAAGAAAACTTCTCAGAGCATATCAATGAATATGAAGTCTCCTAAGAGAAAGTCTGCAGTATTCCCCATCACATTCGTGCTTCATAGAACAACTCAGAAAGAAAATTTGCTATGTTGGCATCTCTCTCTTTCTTTGAAAATATAACACTTCAAAGTCAGATGTTTACTTGTTCACTTGTTTTTCCAAATTGATAACCCTCCAAGTGTGTAGGGATGTCGATTTTTCCTACTCTAACACCTCAAAGGCAGGCAGTATTTTGTCATGGTCATTCCAAGGTAGCCTTAGAGGCAGTGCCAGTGCTTTTCTGCTACTTGTTGTTAAATGCCCATCGAATTGACACCGTGACAGAGAGGTAGAGAACAGCAATTCAGCATGGGCCCCATGGAGCCAGGGCTCCCTGGTCACCTGGTCTGAGGGTCCACTGTGGGGCTAACACATGGTAGATGGCTCTTGGTTTTAGAGTTGATTTTCTTTCTTTTTTATTTGTGTGCACATGTGTGTGGACATGTGTGCCATGGTGTGCATGTGTATGGAGGCCAGAGGACAATTTATGGAAGTCAGATCTCTCCTTCCACCATGTGGTTCTCAGATTGGCATGCTTGGCAGCAAGTACCTTTACTAACTGAACCATCCCACCTGCTCCGGAGTTGGTTTTCTATAAGAGAAAGAAAAAAGCTGTCAGAGCTCTCCACCCTAGGTACTGAGCTGCCTTGGGTTAGAACAGAGGTAAGCGTGTAGACCAGGAATTAGTGCTGCCTTCCTTGGGTAGGAAGGCTGTGTTCCACTTATTTGCCTCTCAGTGTTAACCCCGTTTTCCATGCTAGTCTCCTACCTGCTGTCCTGTGCTGTCCATCACCACTCTGCCCTCTTTCTCCTTCATCCCTCCTCTGGGTTCCTTCTATCTCTGTTCTAAACAGACAGGTTTCCTTCCTGCCTCCCCATCTCTTCTCAGCCCCTCTGCCCCTAGCCTGGCAGTCTGCCCTGTAGGAATGTTAATTAGCATTCACGATTTAATTAATTCAGCAGCTAATTAATGATTGGGGACTGGGGGTGGGGAGCTGGGATTCTGGGTGGTTGTAAGCTGAAGGTGGAAGAGAGAAGTAGCCGAGGCTGCAGAAGGCATTGCAGATGGCTGTGTGGAGGCTGGCACAGCGCCCACTGCCATGGATGCAAACACACTTGCACGCATGCACGCGTGCATACACACACACACACACACACACACACACACACACACACACACACAAAATGGGGAAGGGTGATCAAGTAATAAAATCAAAAGCAGAGAGAGTGGGGCACAGGGGCCCTGGGAACTGGGGGTGGGGAAGACTCTAGATCTATTTGAATCTACTCCGGAAGTGGAAGAGTAGAAAAATCCACCCCTCCTCCCTGGCATGGGATTCATGGGCACCAGCTGAGGACAGGGACCCCTCCCTCTGCCTGCCACAAAAATATTGGCACTGAGGACCTAGACTCCAAAGAACAGGACATTCCAAAGAAATAGTTTTCCTTTTAAGTTGCTGTTTAATATACATTATATGTTGTATATAAAATAAATTAAAATGCACCCATTTTGGTACCCCTCCTCCCTGGCATGGGATTCATGGGCACCAGCTGAGGACAGGGACCCCTCCCTCTGCCTGCCACAAAAATATTGGCACTGAGGACCTAGACTCCAAAGAACAGGACATTCCAAAGAAATAGTTTTCCTTTTAAGTTGCTGTTTAATATACATTATATGTTGTATATAAAATAAATTAAAATGCACCCATTTTGGTATGAGAGCGAAGGCGAGTGAAAGAAGGTGACCGAGCTAGGAGGAGAATGCACAGATGGCTTGGTGGTGGTATGGTTGTGGTGAGTTGTGCGGAGGAAGGGGGGGTGGCACAGAGGTTGGGGTGGGTGGAATGAGGACCCTGTTTTCCTCTTTTCGTTTTACTATGGTTGAAGTAGAAAGAGAGAGAAAGGGGGTGGGGAGAGAAGAGAGACAGATGGCAGAGTGGAGAGGCGGCAGCCAGTGCCGGCACTGCCCAGCCTGGGCGGACCTAGCTCCCCCCGCCTGCCAGCTCTCCAAATGCCACCCTTCCCCCATCTTCCCCTCTCCCCATCCCCCCAGCTTGGCACTGATCTCAGGGAGGGAGAGGGAGGGAGGCTGGGCAAAGAGCATCTGTTCCCTCCATTCTCCTGGCTCCATCGGCTGCCAACCTAGGGCCATCGTCTGCCTCCATCACCCCTCCGCCCGCCTGCCTACCACCCAATCCCAAATGGGTGCTGGATCAGGTGCCGAATCCGGCTGCCTCCTCGGGTACCAGTCACTGCGTTGCTGTGTGTCTGCCACCGCTGCCTGGCACTCGTGGGGCCGTGTGTGTATGTGTGTGCGCGCGCATGTACATGTACGCATAAGCGTGTGTTGTATGTGAGCCTCCTGGGCATGGGTGGGGGTTGGCATTGCGGTTGCCACTCTAGTGTCCAACCAGAAGGACAGAAGGATGGAGTGGAAGGAGGGGAGAGGTGTGGGGCCTGGGAGGGGAGAAGAGGGTGCATGAGTTGCTTCATGCTGTCTGATTGCAGGCATTGGCACTGCAGCTGCCACCCTTGTGCCCATGGAGATGGGAGGGGAGGCATGGAGGGGGAGTGACAGAAGTCCCAGTGCTCTGGGAAGAAGGTGCGGCACCAAGAGCTATTGGCATCACATCTGTTAGGCTGGTGCCCAGTGCTGGGGAATGGGGGAACCAGGAGGCAGAAAGGAAGGGCAGGAATGTGTTGCTGATGTTACTGTCCCTCTAGAAGTAGATCTGAGGAACGTTTTGACTATGAGGCGGTTACCTCTGTTCGGCCTGGGGAGTGGAGTGCTGGAGAGTAGACAAGGAAGTGCCAGGAAAGAGTCTAGGAGCCAGGGAGGAGAGGCTGTGCCACTGCTACCCAGGAAGAACTTGTCTGGGCTTATGATATGGCCCTTTGTGAGAACACTGGAGAGCATGGGAACTGGGATGTGAGGTGGAAGCTGGCACTGCCCATGGAGCCTGACATTGTGTGGAACAGGGCAGGGTGATAGTGTCCCTCTAGTTTAGTTGAGAAGGTTGTTGACCAGGAGTGAGGTGGTGAGATGGAGGGGTGCTTTATTTGAGAGAATAGACTTTTTTCTGCCAGGAGCTCCTTCCTATTCCCTCTTAGGCATGGAGAGCTGAATGACAGACGGAGTGCCGTGAGGACACAAAGGAGGAAGCGTGCCATTGCTAAGACCCCAAGGAAGAAGAGTGGAGAGTGCCGACAGTCCTACCTGGCCTCCAGCCAGTTTCCCACTGAAGATGGCCATATCCTCTAGCCTGGTCTGTACATGCCACTATTGTAGGTGTTGCAGGGAGGGAAGGGTTAGCTTGTAGAGCTGGGCTGTGAGATGGAAAGGCTACCTTTTTGTGGATCCCATTTGGACTCTACTCTAACAAGTGTGGCAGATTTTTCTCCCTGGTGCCTCCCTCCTCCCCCTCCCTTTGCCTCACCCCGGCTTTCATCACCACCTGGGTCCTACTGCTTGGCACCCAACCAAGTAGATGCTGCTACACTTGACAGTGCTGCACTGGCATGTGAACAGTGACTCAGATCCCAGCACTGGGGCAAACCTGAAGCCACCCAACTTGATCATGATGCCACTTGGTGGTAGTGAGGAAGGGGGTTGTGTACGTAGGAGTGCTAGGTATTTGGTGGTAGTCTATATTGGAAAGTGACATGTGAGGCTGTTTTTTTTTTTTTTTTTGGTTTTTTTGAGACAGGGTCTCCCTGTAGCCCCAGCTGTCCTGGAACTCACTATGTAGACCAGGCTGGCCTTGAACTCACAGAGATCCGCCTGCCTCTGCCTCCCTGGTGCTGGACTAAAGGCGTGCGCCACCACGCCCTGCCTGTGAGGCTGTTCTTACCAGCTGGGCAGAGCCAGCATTCTCTAGGACACCCACCTCTGCTATCCTCCCAAATGGATACTCACTTCCCTTCTACCTTCACCAACCCCAAGAAGGGTAAGATTTAGATGGCACTTGGAGCCAGTGGCTGTGCACCTCTCTGGGCAGCAAGGAGGGAAGAAATTCTAGGAGGGTGAAGTAGCCTGGAGAGAGGCATTGCAGCTATGCTTGTCACTAAGATGGTACCAGAGAGAGTAGAGGGACAGCTCACCAGGCCTTGCTGTTAAGTAGTGGGGGTAGGTTGTATGTATTTCCTGGTGCCTGGTGGTTGCCTGAATGGTGCTTGAGATGAACTGGCTCTTTGTTCTTTGTTAAAATACCCCTAGAAGGATGGAGGCACTCTAGAACTACAGAGGCAGGCAGGTATTAGGACCACAAAAGCAAAGATTGCAGATTTTATGTGTAGGAGCGTCTCAATGGCACCCCAATTGGGATTGGATTAATTTCTGTCTTTGAAATCTACTCCTGGAAGGGAAGCCAGGGTTCAGCAATGAGAGTGGTAGAAGGGAGAGCCCTTCGAAGGAGAGTCCTCAGTATCTGTGGTGACACATACCAGCCCCACAGAACTGAACCCTCAGCCACCATCCGCAAGATTCTCCAGCAGGACTGGCTTTCCCTGATTCCTGGGGGAGCCATAGGCTGTAGGTCAGCAGTCTAGAGGATCTGGTGGAAAATCTGGCTCTGGGTGATGTCAAAGGGGAGGCTAGATGGCTCAGCGGGAGTGAGCTGCTTGTTGTTTGTGCCAGGGCTGAACTGCCTAGGGTTGGGACAGTTCTGATTTCAACATTTCTGGAAGTGGATGGCAGCTTCAGAAGAAGCAAGTTTCCAAGAAGAGAAAGCAGGAGGCCCTCGGTCAATGGGGTAAGTAGATGGTGTTTGTGAATTGCATTTTCTTCTCTTAGACAGAGGCCACCATAAGCAGAAGATACCATCAGGCTCTAGTAGATTGGAAGGTTGGAGGTGTGTGTCAGGGTAATAAAGAAGACACATTGGAGGAGGAAGAAAAATAGAATTGGGTATAGCTCAGTGGTAGAACATTTACCTAGCATGTGTGAGGCCCTGGGTTCAATCTGCAGCACTGAAATGGGAAGAAAAAAAAAAAATTCAAGGTGGTAGGAGTCCCTGATGTAGCAGGGTTTGTTTTGGGGACTGGAGAGCTGGAACAGGTTGTATATGAGAATGAACTCTCTAGGTAAACTGACAGTATAGATCACGTCAGCAGGAGTTTCTCATTCAATTGATGTGTAGTATGGTTCAGGAATGTACATTTCATTAATTAGTTATTATTTGTGGTACTAGGAATTGAACTCAGGGCTTATACATGTTAGGCAAACACTCTACCATTGAGTTATATCCCTATTTCGCTTTCTATTTTGAGATCGGGTCTTGGTAAGTTGTCCAGGCTGGCCTTGAACTCACTCTTTAGTCCAGGCTGGTCTTCAATTTGTGATCCTTTTGCTTCAGCCACTCTTGTAGTTGGGATTACAGTTTTGTACCCATAAACCCATCTTCAGAATGTACATTTTAAACACTCAGTTGGCCATGAGACAAGTGGATAAACTTTGGGAAACCCATTCACCTTATAGGACAGTGATCTCATCTGAAGTTTCCTTGACTTTATATCTCTCTTGTTACTCAACCAGAGTCATGTCATATGGATGATATATGTGTTGTGGGATCTCTGTGTGTGTGTGTGTTAAGGGTAATTGGCAAAAGGGGAATTGTGAAGTCCAGTTAGGCACATGTAACTTGTTAGAACAGTGATTTTCATTGGCAGTTCTTATCTATCACAGAGAATCCCTTTGAAAACTGTGTTTCTGAAACCTTACCATTGAGAACCATGAGATTAGAGCATTTCCAGAAAGCTCTAATGTCTCTAATGTCCCTTTGATCCTGTGACATCTATATAGATTTTGTGGTGGTAGAGGTCCTAGTTATATGCCTTTTTGGAGACCTGGATCCCAAGTTACCAAGCAGGAGTCAAGAACCAGGTCTATGGCAGTGTTGGCAAATACCCAACAAGCTGCTTGAGTCATTTGGTAGGGTAGTCAGAAGAGAATCCAGTCTAGGCATTCTTCAAGTTCAGTTGAGAAGACATGGTACAGGGTTTGCTATTATTAGGGTAGGACTGGAGATATGTAGATGTGAGGCAGTAGTGAGCCCCACCTAAGCACTCATTTCTGTGTTTAAGCCATTGGGTAAGAGTGTGTGTATGGTTGGGTAAGACTGTATTGCCTTTCCCCTGTCTCCTTGGACAAGCTCAGCTTCTTTCTGTGCTACTTACAATCACTCAGCCTGCTTTTCTACTAACTTCTAGTTAGACACCTCTTTGTGGCTGGGCAACCGCAAGAAACCCCAGTCTCAGATACTGACAGGAAATATCTACCCTATTTCTGTTTCTGTTTTGAATAGAGATTAGCTGGGTCCTTCTGTATCAAGGAGAGTCAATGGGTGGTCACACAATTGAGTCACCTAATTTCATCACCAAGTGTTATGTTTTTGTAAACCATAGTCTCTTCAACTGAGCTTGATGGCACAGATCTATAATCTTAGCTAATTGGGGGAGTTCAAGACCTGCCAGCCTATGCTACAGATCAAGTTCAGACCATGTCTCAAAAAATAAATAATAAATAAATAAATTTTAAAAGGAGTTAGGTGTAGTGGTGTACCACCTGTAATTCTAGCACTCAGGAAGTGGAGGCAAGAGGAGCAGGAGTTGAAGTTCAGTTTGGTCTAATTACATCCTGTATTTAAAAAAAAAAAAGGTAAGGGTGGTGGTTTGTGAAACGGGCTGTAACTCAGTAGTAGAACTCTTGCTTAGCATGTGTGGGGACTTTGGTTTAATCCCCAGGCGGACAAAAAAGTTCTAGTCTCTTTTCGGAGGGGCTTTCTCTGTTACTCTCGTCTTTTCCAAATGTAACAGGCCTTGGTCTAGGCTGTCTACAAATGTCTCTCTCAGTTTCTTTCGTTTCACCTTTTCATGTTGTGTCCAACTATAATTTTGTACATTCTTCTTCTGAGTCCGCTGTTTTTTTAAGTAACTGCTGCCTTAATACTGTGGCCTTTTTTCCTAACTCAGTGTTCTAGGCATGACACCCTCATGGTTACAAGTTTCTGACTAGTTTCTGAGATATATCCTCTGATACTAGGCCTTTCTGTAACAGAGTCCCAGCCCAGTTTACCAAGTTTCAGGGCGATATAAAAATTTGCCAAAGTGCTGGGTGTGGTAGTGCACGCCTTTAATCCCAGCACTCAGGAGGCAGAGGCAGGTGGATTTCTGTGAGTTCAAGGCCAGCCTGGTCTACATAGTGAGTTCCAGGTCAGCTGGCGCTACAGGGAGACCCTGTCTTTTAAAAAAGACCATGAAAAAAAATTGCCAGAAAGTTTTCTTGACTTTTCATCTACCTCTCCCAGCCCTAGATTACAATCATTTAAGGTTGTTTCTCCAGTGAGTTCATGTTCAGCAATAACTGATACTGGCCGTATTTATAAGCTTTCCCTGCCTACTTTTACAAGAGGAAAATTAGCATATTTTAGGTATTTCTAGGCAAATGTTTTACCCCTGAGTTACCACCTCAGTCCCTAGAAGGTAGTTCTCCTTAAGGGTATAAAGTTATTGTCTGAAGGCATTTCCCACACGTGTTTATATGTGTGTGTGTCGATAGTTGTGTATCTCTCTGGGATCTGCTGCTTTTTCTGAGGATGGATTTGCTTGTTTTTTTTTTTTTTTTTTTCGTCTGTGTGTTTGGTATTCTATACACACCTCTGTGTTTCAATCCATATGTAAATTTTTTATGGGGATGAAGGATTGGATGAGAAAATGTCTCAAAATAGCAAGATGGTAGTGATTTGGGGAACAGGTTATCCTGTCTAAAAATGCTGAAAGTAGTTAAGTAATAGAAAGAATCAAGCTGGTGGGTGCTGTTATGCCTACAGTAATTGGCTTTCTTGGTGCTTATACATGCTTCTGTAAGTTCAGTCCATGGCTAGAGGTGTGGGCTAAGGACAGGCCTCTTTCTGTGGTCGTGCTGTATATACACTGCCCTCTCTGGCCATGCAGGCTTCAGCTTCTCTCATGTTCTTCTAGCAAACTTTGATTTTTGTTCCTGGTTGAGGAGTGGACATTTTAAATCATCCTTCCACAGATTCTGACTTAGAACAAAGACAGGCAAGATCATTTATGCCTCCTGCCTCCCAATGAGGACCCTGGAGTAAGGAGGGTCCTGAATTTGGATGCTTCTTTAGGATCATGTATATTAGAAACTCCCAAGCCATGGTACAGCCTTATGAGACATTAGTTCCGGCTCATTTTACAGATGAGGTGGGAGCATTTCTAAGTGTTGCTGTACTTGCCTTCAGTCGGTTATTCCACAGGATCCTGGTGACTTTGATCCTCTAGCATTCTTCATAAGGCTGTGTTGACAGTAAGGCCCACCACTGTGTACTGTTCTCTGTGGCAGGCATACTGCTGCTAAGTGTGGACTGATAAAGGAGCTGGGAAGATGGCTTCTAGCCACTGGGAATGCAGAATAGTGCATCTGGAGATCCTGTTGACTGACCTGCCAGCAACATCAGTACCCTGAGAAAGTGCAGTTGCTGAATCAGTTTCTGTCTGCCATTGTGAATGTACATGGTGTGTCCCAGGCCAGGGTGTTTGGGTCTAAGAGGTGTTAGAGGATACAAGGAGGAGGGGTTTCTGGCTACATTAACTTTTGGTGAAAACATTCATAGTTCAAACTCGATCCAACCTGACCTGGCAAATGCATGACACAACACCTCTAATCATCCCATGCCAGATGTTAAGGTTTTCTTTTAAAGTTTCTTCTTTTTCTTTTTTTCTTTTTCATCTTTTATACACAAGTCACATTCTCAGAAAGCACAGAGTGAAAAAAGCTTTTTTCCTCATACGCATGCTGCTAAGAAAATAGTTTTATACATAGAATTTCAACAGGTGAGAGAAGAGGACAGGGAGGAAGGGCTGTGAGAGAGATGCAGAGAGGCAGGAAAAGAAAGGTCCAACTATCACCAGACCACCATGGGTGTTTTCCTCCCCTTGTTTACATTTGTAACTGGCATTTTTGGTATCAACAGAACATAACTAGTTTCATCTTACCCACAATTGGTTGCGGTTGGGAGTTTCTTAATTTTCAATGTGAATAGGAAAGGAAGATTCACATAGTGAATGAGGAACAAAGGATTTAAGCTGAATTTTCTCTCCCCCTTTCTTTTCTACATATAAGCCACTGTTTTAAGAAAGTGTTTGTTAGCAGAGCAGAGTGACTGAGAGACCAGAAAAACTTAAGCTGCAGGGCTGACCAATTTATATTAGATGGAAAACTAGTGGAAGATGGGTGGTCCTCAAGGATAAGGGAAGTGGGATGAAATATCTAAACGGCATAGGAAATTTGCAGGCTTCTTGCTAAAATAAGACACCTACGAAGTCTACCCTGTGCCACTTGAGCTGGATTTGGGCATTATTACAATGACTCCTCACAGGTAGTGAGGTTAGGTATACATTGCTCTTCTGTGTATCTCCTGCTCAGAGTATCTTGTGCTTGTGAGCCCTTGCCTACACATCCTCTCAGGTGTCAGCTCTAGGTTACGAGTCTTATAGATGACCCCAGACTGTTTTGGGGACATTCCCAGTCAATGCTGCTTAATGGAGGGACTGGGATGAGCTGGGCAGAGCAGGAACAAGAGCAGATGAGGAAGAAAGGCAGACCCTGCAAAGGCAAAGGAGGGTCAAGAAGTATCCAGAAACATGATAGGGCCTCTGGGGGAAGGAAATAGGCTTGTTGGAAAAAAGTGGTGGGCAAAAAATGGGTGCACAGCTTAATTCATAAACCAAGCTGCCCGCCACCCCTGCCCTTCTCAAGACTGCCAAGATCCTGGCAACACTGGGCTTTCTGACAGCTGATGAGGGGCTAGAACAAGTTCTGATACATACTCAACTCAGGACAGGGATGGCTCTCCCTAGAGTCAGTCAGGTTCATTGCTGCATTACTAGCCATGTCTTGGACTCTAGGCAGAGCTGCACTGCTTCCAGCCCTGCCGTGGACTGAACAAACCTCAAGTGGGGCAGGGGGTAACACGAATAGTAAAAAACAAAAAAGGAAAATAAAAAAACCCACTTGTTTGATGGTAGTTTTTTTTTCCTCTGTATTTTCAGGTTTATGTTTTTCTTCATTCCTCTGGTACTTCCATTTCTCTCTCTCTCTTTCTCTCTCTCTCTCTCTCTCTCTCTCTCTCTCTCTCTCGTGTGTGCACTCTCTCTCTCTCTTTTTTTTTTTTTTTTTTTTTTTTTTTTTTTTTTTTTTTTTTTTTTAAAGAACTTTGGATTTGCCATTGGTGGGCAACGCCGATCCCCGGAGGCTGGACTGCCCTGTGGCAGGGCTAGGACAAGGGGCAGGCCCACGGCTGCTGAGAGGATCTCTGTGTTTAAAGCCTTTGAGAATAAGTTACTGCAGTTCCCAGGATACAGGGTGAGGGTTCCTGGTGGCGGCTTCCCCAGGAGTCCAGGCCACAAGGGTCCCATCAGGTGAGGAAAGGGTAGGAGGGAGGGGTGGGGAGAGCGAACAGGGGTATTTTCCCCCTGCCGGCCTCCAGTTTGGTTAGAGTTTTATGGGCTCCCTGCCCATCCCAGGCTCCAACCTTAGGAGCTGCCTGGGTTTTTGGAAAGTTTGTGAGCAGTATGGTGCTCTGGGGGAGGGATAGGAAGGGGAGAGCAAAGTTTATCTTCCATCCCCTTTTTTGTCTTGGGTTTTCTGGGGTTTTTCTTCTTTTCCTTTTTCTTCTTTTCCCTTTTTTTTTTTTTTTTTTTTTTTTTTTTTTTTTCCTTTTTTTTTTTTTTTTTTTTTTTTGGTGTTTTCTCAGTCAGTATAATAGCATGAGATAGGTATGCGTTTTCAGGGGAAGAGGGCTGGGAATTCAGTGGGGAAAAAGGAGGGGATGAAGGGCAGACTTTATGTATGGTAAGCAGACATGTATGAGTAGTTGGGATGCCGAGGTGGGGGAGTGTGTCTGTCTATGAAGACATAGGGGCAAGGGCTACATCTGTAAGGAGTCAGGATGAGAACCAGAGTGTCTGTGGGATGGGGAGGAGGCAGGACTCTGCTGGAGGTGGGGTGTGTGAAGCCCACTGAGGGTGGGAATTGAGACTCCCATGAGGTGGGCAGAACTGAAGGTTGGGGTGAGGGATTTGAGTTCCTACCAAATACCCCTTGGGTATGAGGGAACCCTAGGCCTCTCTCTTATCCCCATCTTGGTTTATCTGTTTATAAAGCTAGAAGTGTAGAGGTAGTAGTAGTTTTTGGGTTGGGGTCCGTGTGAGGTAATCTTGCTTCCTCTTTGGCAAAAGCCACAGCGGCCGGGACAGCAGTGGCAGTGTTGGTGATGGGTGGGCCTCCTAGAGGTGGGGCCGCTTTGCGCCTGTGGGCTGAGGAGCGCATGTGGGAGGCTAGGGCTTCACGCCCACTCAGCAGCACCTCACATGCCAGGCAGTGGTAGGTGCAGATGGGCACCCGCAGTGGGGGGGGCATGGAGCCCCCAGAACCCCGCCCAAAGAAGCAGAAGGATCTCTGGTGGGCAGTAGCTGGGGCCTCACCATCAAATGCCATCTTGCACTGACGGCACAAGTAGCGGTGAGTCACATCCACCGTGGAGATGCCAGTGCTGCCTGTTAGCAGCTCATCGGCCTCACCACTTTCCGCTTCTCCAGGAGCGGGCAACTCAGGAGGCTTTGGAGGTGCTGTGGCTGTGGGCTCAGGGGGCTGAGGTGGTGGCTGGAGGAGGGCATTGGGGAGCAGCCCAATGAGGGTCTGAGGTATCACGGGGTTCATGGGAAATAGCCCCTTCTTCATGCCGTAGAGCTGTTGGAAGTAGGCCCCCTGTAATTGGGGGCCAAAGACAGGTGGTTGTGTTGCCCCCCCTGCAGGGGGCAATGGGAAGGGCAGGAATTGGCCTCCCAACAGGGCTGGGACAGTAGCCTTCAATGCTTTGAGGTTCTTGAGGGCATCAGTGGAGGAGTTGGTAGGGGTTGCAACTGACTTTCGCTCACCAGAGACCTTGTCCCCTGGGGGCTCTGTAGCTGGGCCCGGGATAGGGTCAGTGGAATTGTTGGTTTGGTCGGACACGGGTCTCTGAGGTAAGGGGCCGCCTGGACCAGCAGTCTGGACCACTGTGGTAGCAGGCAGGACCGAAGCGGCAAGGCCAAGGAGGCCTGAGGAGGCTGCAGGGCCTAGGAAAATGCGAGGGGTGAGGAAGGGTTAGTGGTCTCCTGCCTCACTGACCTTCCTGTTCCAGGTCACTCCTGCTACACACTTGCCCTTCCCACCACCCTGCGGCCACGCCCCTCATCCTCCCCCTAAGATTCTGCAGCAAGGAGGGCCACAATGGGAGTCAAGGAGAAGAGGGGCATGCCATTAGAGGCGTTCTCTGAAGTCCAGCTCTTCCCAATCTCCCCAACTCACCTGAATTGAAAGGAGCTAAGCTGCCAGGTGGTGGCTGGGCCAGAGTTGGGCCAGTCAAGAGTACCGGAGCCAGGCGAGGCAGGGTGGGGGCAGCCCCCAAGGGCACAGAGGCAGGTGTGGTAGCAGATGGGCCTTTAGGAGCCGGTAGGGCCTCAGGTGCTGGAGCTAAGTCGTAGCATTTGCTTTCACTCTTCAGCTGGGCTCGGACTGCCTCCTTAAGCTTGGCCAGGTGCTGGCGGGAAAAGAGGTGGCTTCGGCAGGAGATGTAGAAATCATACTTGACATCACAGTAAGGACAGTCAGTGCGCTGGGCTGCCAAGGTGCCCTCACTGTTGTTGCCCCCACTCCCTACAAGTGCTGTCCCCTGCAGTTTGGCTTTCTTTTCCTTGGCACGAGCATTCTGGAACCAGACCTGAATGACTCTCTTGGGCAGCCCAATTTCCTCCCCTAGCACCTCACACTCCTGCATGGTGGGGGTGCGGTAGGCTTCATAGCAGGCTTTCATGATCTTCAGTTGAAGGCTGCTCATCTGGGTCCTATAGCGCCGCTGCCCCATTCCATCTGGAACCCCAGCCCCACCTCCTGGTCCCCCACTGGATCCCCCAGCTCCAGGGGACTCTGGTTCAGCCAGGCTGGAAGCAGATGAATCACTTAGGTCTCCTGCAGATGGACTGCAAGCCTCACTTTCTGGAGAAGCTTTAGATGGTTCCTCTGGGCCCTCATCCTCACTGAGTGGAGGAGGTGGAAGGGGTAGAGGTGGCTCTGGGGCTGCTACAGTGGCCTCTTTCCCAGATGGTAGGAAAGATAGAGGCCCAGCAGCAGGAGTGACTCTGGGGTAGGAAAAAGCAGGTGCTTCCCTCTTTGGGGCTTCCCTCCCAGTCCCATCATCTATCTTGCTCAACAGGAGGTTGAATTTAGGGAAGGGTGCTGGGGTCGGTGTAACAGTGGGTTTGACTGCTGGGCTGGCCACTCCCCCAGGGGTGCTTCGAAACTGGCCTTTCCTCTCCCGGGCTCTGGTATTCTGGAACCAGACTTGTACTACTCGCTTTTTGAGCCCCACTTCCTCAGAGATGCAGTCAAGCATCTTACGTGTGGGGTTGGAGTCCTGCATGTACCAACGGTACAGGATCTCCAGCTGCTCCGGTAGGATGGTAGTACGCAGGCGCTTGTCCCTTGGGGGGTCACCCTCCCCTCCACCCCCTGCTTCGCTGCCTGTGGGAGACAGGCTGCCATCATCATGCTTCCGCTTGAGGGGTGGCCCTGGCACCGAAGGAGTGCCTGCTACCAGAGGGTTGCGCTCCCCAAACACTAGCAGAGGCAGATCAAGGAGTTGTGGGGGAGCACTGGGCTGCACAGATGGTAGGAAATGTAGTTGGCGGTGACTAGTCAGGAGGTCTTGACTGGGGAAAGCAGCAGCACACTGGTCACAGGTGTGGGCTAGAGGAGGGGGAAGAGCCTTCCCTTCAGACTCTTTGCCTTCTAGCTTTGTTGGCTCTGCCTGGCTCAGGTCCTCTGCATCTGGATGTTGTCCTGCTGATGGGCCCTCTGGTGATGGGTCCTCAGGCCCCGGTGGGGGTTCCAGGCTCTGTTCTTCATCTGCTTCCTCCTCTTCCACCTCTTCCTCATCCTCCCCTCTCTCCACCACCACCTCCTCCTCCTCCTCCTCCTCCTCCTCAGGGGGCTGGTCATCATAGCACTTCTTGAGGTGCCGCACTAGCTCAAAAACACAGGAGAAAGTGGCGTGGCAGCGCCTACAGCTAGAGGCTCCCCCGGTGCTTCCTCCAGTGGGCATAGGCCCACCCTCACAGGCATTTTTTCGGGCTTTCTGGCGGGCATTTTGGAACCACACTACTACCACACGGCTGGCCAGACCCAAGAGTTTTGCCATGCGCTCCACCTCTCCGTCCTTGGGGTAGGCACTGGTCTCAAAGAAAGACTGTAGGGCCTGGGTCTGGAATGCTGTGAATTTTGTTCTGGAGAACCGGCGGCCTGCAGGCACTAGGGGGGGGAGATTCCCTCTAGAACTTTCTTCTTCCTCTGGGGGCCAGTGTCCTCCTGCTCGGCTCTGCTCCTCAGGAACATGGGTTCCCCCTACTTCAGGCTCAGTGACCAGTAAAGGTGGGCCCAGTTGGGGAGGGGACTCTAGGGACCCATCTGGAGGTTTGGGGGGTTCCACTGACTGTGGATACAGGCTATCATAGCTCTTTCGAAACTGAGCAGCATAGCGGTTCAGAGCCTCAAAGGGCAGAAAGCGGCGGTGAACATGCTCCTCGTGGGTCTTGAGAATAAGCATATTGGAGAAGAGTTTCCCACAGGCCCCACAGGCCAGCTTGTCTCCACCCCCAAGAACCTCTGGGGGAGGTGGTGTTGGGGGAGGGGGCACTGTCTGCTTCCCTTCATTGTACTGAATTACCAGCTCGAAGCCAAAATTTTCTAGAAGGGCTTTGGCTGCAGTGCGAGCGACTTCATTGGGCGGTGTGTGGAGTGGTGAAGAGGGCCCTGCTTCAGTCCCCTCTTCAGCTATTGGGGGCCGCTCCCATTCTTGTTCAGCTAGCTCAGTCTTGGGGGGTGGGGGTGGAGGAGGAGGAAGAGGAGGAGGGGTAGCAGCTGGCAGAGACAGCATGGGCGCAGGGCCAGCCAATGCCAGCTTGGGCCCTACCTTGAGGTCATGGAGATAGAAGGGCAGGAGCAGCTGCTGCTGCTGGAGCTTAAGCAGTGACTCTGGCACCAGAGGGAAGGGGGGTAGGACTGGTGGGGTGAAGAGAGGGGCTGGGAATCGGTGCAGATCCAAGGGAGGGGGTGGTGGGGACAGGAAGGGCAGTCCAGACACGAAGCCACTAGGGTCAGGGCCTTTCTTCTCAGTGCCCACCTCCCCCTCAGTCTCGCTTTCCTTGAGCTCTTCTTGGCTGCGCTCTGGTCCATCAGCCCTAGCATCAGTTCTGGTCCCCCTTGAGCGAGTCTGATGGAGAACTGATCTCATATGAATCTCCAAGGTGGAGCTCTGGTTGTAGGATACTCGGCAGACCGTGCACTTGAATGGCTTGTCTGAGGCAGTAGTTGTGGTGGGTGGGACACCAGCCTCTCCTCGGGTGGGGCAAGATGGGTCAATGGCAGCCTTCTTCATCTTATGAAGGTGGGAGACAGAATTATAATGAACCAAGAGGATATTCTTCTGGGTGAATGATTCCTTACACACAGTACACTTATAGGGCCTGGCAGGGTCAAGAAACTTGTCCAGGGCAAAGTTGGTGGTCTTGCGATAGGTCAGAGGGTGGCGAGAGTCAGCTGGGGATGGTTCTGCAGAGCGAGGCTCCCCCATGGTCCCCTCTTCCTCTTCAGCCATGATTGGCAGAGGAGCTACTTCTTCAACTTGGGCATCTGGCCGAAGGACTGGAGATGGAGCTGGAGAAGAGGGCTGATCAGGGGGGCTTCCTGAAGGCTTCTCTGGACTCTCAACTGATGCCAGGGGAGGCTCAGGAGGAGGATCTGGGCTGGCTTCTGGGGCCAGGTTAGAGCCATCTACAGGAGAAAGAACAGGGTATAATGAGCAGAGAATTGTGTTCAAGCTAGGCCCCAACTATTCAATATCCAAGGTAACTGACTCTGGCCTCAGTGATCTTTAGATTCTTTTGGTCCCCTTTTCTGCCACTTTGGGAGGTATGCTATACCCTTCCTTACCTGCTGCCTGGTCTCTCTTGGGAGTGGGCTCTGGCCCAGGAGTGGGGTGTTCTGGGCCATCCTCCAGAGGGTTTAGTGTGGGTCCAGGCAGCACTTTGGTTGCAAAGGTCATCTCTACAGTTGTGGCCTGTAATACAGGAAATCCTAGTGGCTTTACCACCACCCACTGCCCCCTGTTTGCTATTCCTGACTCACATGCTCTGCACCTGTATCCGTGCCAAACTCCTTTTCCATGGATCTAGTCTCCTGTCTGGATGAACCTCCCAATGAATTGTTACTTTTCTACAAATGAAGGCTTGGCAGCTAGCTGTCCCTCTCCTCTGGCTTTCTTCTTCCTCAGGCTGACAATCAACCCACCTCAAGGCCACTTGGTTCTGTTGTTAAACAGCTCTTTTCATTGAGGATTTAATGGATGTGAGAACAATACATAGTTCTTTTGTCCAGGAGTAAAGGAACTAGATAAGTTTAGTACTAAAAACCCCCAACTCTAAAATCCCACTTCAAATCTCTGGAATGCTATTTCCCTTCAACACTGTATTCCTAGCACACTGGCCTGAATATCCCTGCTGCTGCTTCTCTTCCTGCATGCCCCTGACAGGATTTCAAGGCCATCTTCCCCCAGCCCATACTCACCACAAGCAGCAGTTTCTCAACACATTCTGGCACCACATTGTGAAGGTGGCTGAGGTGGAAGTGCAGGGCAGGCCGACCCACCAGCTGCTCCTGGCACAATGGACACCTGTATTTGGGCTGCACGGCATGCTGTGAGAGTGTATGAGCCCTCACCTGGTCAGACTCCGGGCTCAGGAAGCTGCAATATGGACAGCAGTATACCTGGGGAACACATATGGTAGTGGAGGAGGTTGTCAGGGAAGGGGGAAACCTCCATCTCCTAGTCACTTGGATTCAGTGCAGCACTGTCCCCATATCTGGATCTGGGAGAAGCAAGCTAGACAGAATGGCACCTTAGCCCTCCAAGCCTCTAACCAGTTCTAAAAGCTGGCAACTCCCTTGGATCAGGACAAAGACCTAGCCAAGGCTGCTACTTTGACTTCCTGACAAGGCCCTCTCCCTCTAGCTTCTGCCTTCTGTTTGGGTGTCTTTCCCCGTCTCTGATGCTCCAGTCAATTTTCCAGCTGACAGATTGCCCTATACCAGCTTCAACCTTGAATCTGGCTTTCTTACCCATGCCCCAACGCCAGTCTTTTTTTGTGAAATAGACTCCTTCTGGGCACTTTCTGGACCCAGAAGTCCCTAGTTCCAACACACTCTGCCTCTCCAAGGTCCTTGAACATCTCCTGCAGAGGTGTCCTGTCTGTCTGCCCCTGAGGCTCACTCATCTCCCTCAGATGCAGCAGCTCCCATTTTCTCCCCTCCCCCTTCATTTCTTAGTATAAAAAAATGCCACAGCTACCTCAGTGGCTCAAGAAAACTCTGGTCTGTCTCTCTGCATTATGTGGCCCAGACTTCCAGAGGGGTGGAGGCCACAAGAGGTCTACTGTCACCTAAATGAACTGTCTAGCCAGCATTTTGCCTGCTGCCTCACATCTGGCTTGTCTCTCTGGCCTGCTTCCTCTCCTGTTACCTGGCACTTTCCCAGGCCTACATGTCAGGGCAGGGATGACCACAGAGGCAGGGGATCCAGCACTCGTCTTCAAGCACCTAACCCTTAGAGCAGACACCTGTAACAGAGGGGCTACAGGGAACAGGAGTTGGGAAGAAGAGAAACTGAGGACAAGGGCATCCCTGCACATGGCAGTGCAATTTGGAAAGCTCTGAGGCCCAGGATAACACCTCAAAACCATAGCTAGGAATCTCCTCAGAGCCAACATTTTAGAGACCAGAAAGCTAAGCTGCTCCAGAGTTCTGCCAAGTCCAAGTTCTAGGGGCTAAAAGACTTGTGAGACTTCCTCTCAGCTCAGTCATTTGATGCCCCTATCCTTAAGAAGCGGGTGCTGTGCAGACTTAGGGCTTTCTGTAGGAAAGGGACATCTGTATTTGTCTTATCCTCTGAAGCTAGTCTTGTTTTTGCCTTTTTCTTTTCATTTCTTTGCTGCTTTCCTGCCTTTTTCTTCATCTACCTCCAGTCTATCCTGTCGTCAATATGCAGTTTCTCTCTTTCCTTTTCCTTAAGTTCCTGCTGTCCCCTCCTGCCGTCCCTTATGTTCACCCTGTATAGGCAGCTTTCCTCCTATGTGCCGAACTCCTGGGTGGAATTTCTTATATGTGATAGTCCAAAAGCCTTCATAATACAAACAGATCTCAGTAAAGCCAGATCCCAACCTCGACTCATCCCAGTTACCCCAGTTCTGACCGTGGTCTGGTTGGCATTGTCTCGGGGAAGGGCAGGTCTGTTCTCCGCCTCTTCAGAAGCTGAGGGGGAGAAGAGAGGAATTAGAGGACTCTGACAACTCTCTGACCTTGCACAGAGAGCTTTCAGCATAGGGGGTGGGGAGAATGGGCAAGAAACTCAGCAGCCAGGTGAGGTCTGACAAGCTAGCCAGGGTTGGGTCCTTGAAGAGAGCAGAAATGCGTATGCTTCTGTGGCTTGCTCCCCTTTCTCCTTTCTTTGATCAGTTTTGTTCCTTCTGGGCAGGAGACTCTACTGGGTACCTGGATTTCTGAAAGGCCCCATGAGCCTCCCAGAATGCATAGTGGGTTGGGTGGGGAGAAACAAATCAGAGGAACAACTCACCCAATTGTTCTGTCTTGTTCAGGGCATCTTTCTCAGGGGTGGGTGGCTCAGCTAAAGTAGTGTCAGGAGCCTTCCCTGTGTAGGATGGAGGCAGAGTCAGCATCAAGAAGTGAAATATCAGGGAAGGAAAGAGGACACAGGGCAGAGGAAGCAGGATAAGCATCCAGTCAGTGGAGAAGATGGAAGAGTGAATCAGTAGGCAGGAGAGGATGAACAGCCACCAAAAAGAAACAGGGTAAATGTGAAAATTCCAGTACTAGAACGAGCAGGGCATAAGATACCATCTCATGTAAGTCCAGCTCCTCATTCTTTTATAGAAACAAGCCCCACAGTAGGCAATAGAAACTGGACTAAACTTGGTCTCCTGGCTTGATTGACCCTGCTAAAAGGAAACCCCCAAATCTAGTGGGAGAGGCATCGCAAAGGTTGAGTGGAAGCAGTGGCTGAGGTGTAAGGAGAGGAGATTACCACTCAAGTAAGAATTGACAGATGTGTAGGAATTTATTTTCAGCGGCAGCCTAATTAAAGTGTTAAAGTTCCTTAACTCCATTCAGCCCTGCGCCAGGATCGTTAGCTATTGATCTGGGCCCCTCCAGCACTTAACTCCAGCCAGCATATTGGCAATTCAATTAGCACCAGTCAATGCTGCCTGTTCCTGGTTCCTGCTGCCCATGCCCTCACACCCTCGCCCACCACTGGCTTCTCCAAAGCCCAGATGCCCATGCCCACCTCTGACAGCCCCTTCCAGGCTCTTCTGCACCCTCTGGATCACTGGCGCCTGGCTGGCTGTTCCCGGCCTCTGCTGGTACAACCTCAGCTGCCTAAGGGGGACTCTAAGCCCAGCCTTAGGGCTGAAGACCTCCTAGGAGACAGGAAGAGGCTGGGAAACTTGCTGGGGCCTCTTCCCATCCCTACTGCCTTTGGATCATGCCCACAGCTCCCATCTCCTTTTGACAAGTCTTGGCCCAGCATGAATCAGGTTCTAGACTTTTCTTTTGCCTACCACCCTGCACAACCAATAGAGCTAGGACAGTAGTCACTCACTACTCAGAAGCATTAGGTGATTCTTCTTCACCTCCTTCCTGTTCTCCACCCAACAAAATCTCTGCCTTTTTCCACCACCCTCCAACGTCTTGCTCCCCCTCTTTACTGGGAAACCTCTAAGTTCCTGGGAGCTCTTGCCTTCTCATCCCCTCACCATCCCTTTTTCCTTGCTATTGAGGGCTCACAGATCCATTTCTCCTTCCTGTGTCATTTTCTTGTCATCTCCCTGTATCTGCTGCCCAGCCCTTATTCCCCTGTTCCTCTTCCTCACCAGGAATCTGGAGCCGCCCATGGCTGAAGCTCAGGATGCTCTGAAGAGCTGAGAGTCCTTCTTCAGCTGTTGGGCCTTTCTGCAGGAGCTGCAGCCGCCTCTGGGCCTGGGCATCACGGTGGGCAGGTGTGCGTAGGTGTTGCAGCACAGTTAAGCGGGAGGGTGTCTCCCAGGCACACAACAGGCAGCGGTAAAGCCCCAGCTCTGGCCCTGCCTCTGCTCCCTCCATTTCCAGCAGAAACTAGAACCATGGAAGAGGCCGACTCAGGTGCAGAAGGGACACCTCCAGATCTTGGGGGACTCTCCCTCCCCACTGAACCCTTTTACTCCTGGGTGCCCCCGTTTCCTTTCTGTGGCCACCTGAGTCACTGCTTTCTCTTCCTCCTGCCAGTCCTGGACTCCTTACTGTGCTAGAATCTGTTTCTACACGCTTGAATTTTTGGATAACATGATGGACCCAATCCTTCCAGTTTACACATCAGAAAAGCTGAATCAAGTCTGTTTCACCTCATCAGAGTCCACTATCCTTTGGTCTTTCTCTAGGTCTGTCCACACACTGTTACCCTGGCACTTACACTTCCCTTTTTTTCCTTTCTGTCACCCTGGGTGTCTCCATCACTTCTCTACATCTCCTTCCACCCTATTCCCTCTCCCTTCTCCTTTTCTGTCCCCTCCTGCCTGAACTTCACCTTATAGATCTGGCTGTTTTCTTCATGGGCTGAACCCCGGGCATGCAGCTGCATCTTCTCCTTGCTGTTGGACTCAAAGTCACAGATGTTGCAGCGCAGGTGAAGCGGGGAGACAGAACCGTAAGGGGCCCCGTCCCCCAGGGACAGTGGGGAAAGGGTGCCCATGGCCCCACTCCCCTCCCTCAGGTGGGCTGCCAGCTGGTACTTCTGAGCATGTTTGTCAGTCTTGAGGTGGAGCTGGAAGTTGGCCTTGAGCTGGGTACCATAGCAGCAGAGCTTGCAGCGGTGGGTGTCCCCAGCTACTTCCTTCCATTCAGCTTCTGGGAGGCTCCGGCCTATGCTGCAGTGGTAAAGCAGCAGCTCCAGGCTGTCTGTGCTGAAGGCCTGGCATACCAGGCATCGGAACACCTTCAGGGGTGGACTGTCATCTGGGGGTGGTGAGGTGGGCAGGCCATCAGATGAGGAGCCCAGGAGCTGACTTGGAGGCAGGTGGGTCTCAGGGGAGAGGCTGCCAGAGGCTAAGGGACAGAGACACATTAGTACCTAAGGAAGAAATGGTGGAGTAGTAATTAAAGGGAGCTACAGTTGCCTAAGTGGGGAGCTGACCTTTGGAAGAAGGCAGGGAATCAACTTTTGCTTGGGTAACAGGCAGTTGGAACAGAGCCAAGAAACTTACCAGCTGTGGGGAACTTTCGGGTAGGTGCTCCAAGGTGAAAACCATTGAGAAGCAGCTGGGCCTCCAGGGGCTTGTCTGGCCTCAGCCCAGGCCCAGGCATGGGAGTCTGAGGCTGTCCTAGGGCCTGAGGCCCAAAGTACTGGAAGAGTTCAGGAGAATTAGTGGGGGTAGCCCCCGGTGGGGGAGGAGCTCCTGGCCCCACCAGCCCAGGTGGCAGGCCCAGTGGCAGTCCCTGGTGCAACATCAGGACATTCTGCATGTGCTTCTCAGAAGTCATGTGGATGCGTAGGTTACGGGAGATGTTGGTCTCATAGCTGCAAACCTTGCACTGCCAGGATGATTTGGTCTTGGGCTCTTTATCTCCCACAGATGGGGGTGGGAGTGATGACTCTGGAGAACTTCCCTGTCCTCCAGGTCCTGCCTGGAAGCCCTGCAGGTTGGCCAGGTGCTTGTCGGACTGCATGTGGATGCTGAGGTTGCCTTTGGTGGTGGTGGAGTAGTTGCAGACATCACAGCGGTAGGGCTTGTAGCCACAGTTGTAGCTTTCTCCACGAGCAAGTCGGGGGTGAGCCCCCCCCGCACTACAATAGCTGCAGTGACTGTTGCTCTCAGGGTGCTTCTCCCGCATGTGCACATCTAGAGTCTGCTGGTACTTGTAGTGCCAGTTGCACTTGGGACACTTAAGTGTCTTACAAGAATTTCGAGAGTGTAGCAAGGACATGTGGCTAGATAGGCTGAGGCCCTGGAAGGCTGCAGGGGCTGGAGTATAGTCATCGACCAGGCGATAGGGCTGAGGTGGGTCACTGGGGTCTTCAGGGGAGCCTACTGGAATGGGGAGAGTGCCCCTGTCCTTAGAGGTGGGTGAGCTTTGGTTGAGTGGGAGGCAGAGCCCTCCATCCTCTTCTTGCCCCTCAGGGAACCAATCTGGTCCTGCCTCGCCTGCTGCTACTGGCGATTCTTTGGCTTGGGTTGGGTTGGGGTCCCAGGTGGCTAGGGTCGGGGGTGGGGATGGTGGACTGAGGGCCACAGCTTCTTCAGCAGGGAGAACAAGGGCCTGAACGTCTGCCTCCAGGGGGCCATCCTCAGTCTGGGCTACATTTGTCTCCATGTTAGCTATGCTGCTGCTGCTGCCTGGTGTTTGAGGAGAGGGGCAAGCAAGGAATTTTGGTTCCAGAAAGCTTATAAGGGCCATGCAGCCCTCATCACCCTCCTGGAGTACAGCTGGGCTGCCCAGCAGACCCTGGTGTTGGGCAGGGGTCAGCTTTACCCCATGAGAATGTGTATGATCTATAAAGACCTGGGGCCTGCTGAAACCCAGGCGGCAGAGAAGGCAGATCCAGAACCATGCCCTGTGGTCTCCTCTTTTGCTCCCCATGGAGCCATCTTTGGGATCTTCGGTTGGGTTTGGAACCAGCTGGTAGCTCCAGAAGGCTCCATCCCTTCCCTCACAGGCAGCCAGAGATGACGGCGCTGAGGTATCACGGGACAGAATTTGGTCAGAAGAGCTAAAGCCTTGGATTGGGTCAAAGCCATGTTGGATGTGAAGAGTGGTGAGGTGTGGGGAGTGTAAATGGGCAAGGAGGGGCAGGCTGGGCTCTTCCTTGATGTTTGCCTCATCCCAGGGAAAGCCCTTTGGTAACAGGAGGTCACTGCCACCTGGCAGAGACAGCTTGGCCAGTAGGTAGGCCTTACCTCCCGCTGTAAAGAATAAGTGGTTGCTTAGGTCCAGGGGAGGGATTCCTTTCTCCTCCTTGTCGTCCTTTTCCACCCCCAGGTCCTTTGGTGGGATGCGTCCACAGCCAGGCTCTTCTTGGGGCTCTCCAATCTCCTCTGGTGGGAGGAGGCCACAGCTTGACTCCAGAGGCTCTCCCCCTGGCTCTGAGGGCCTTACGTTCTCAGAGGTGGAGGGAGTATCCGGGGGATCTTTGGTGACGGGATCAGAGGTGCTGGAGAAGGAGGTATCTGGAGGCAGGGACGGGGCATCGTGCCCGGGGGAAGGAGTGGTAGTAGAGGGTAAGTTAAGAGTGGCCATGGTAGACGGAGGAGTGCTGAGGGTTCATTTCAGCGTGACAGCCAGTACCCTGCAGGGAAACACAGATAGAGCAGTGCTGTGAGATTGCAGGGAGCCCAGCCAGGCTGAGTATCTGGCCACTCTAGCCCCATCATTTTCCCTGAGCACCAGACTCAGATGCCCTCATGCCAACTTGAAACTTTACTTAGCGTCTAACAGGCTTAAAAATTAACATGTCTGGGGCTGGTGAAATGGCTTAGCTGGTACAGGTGTTTGTCTCTGAGGCTGATGACTTGAGTTTGATCCCAGAGACCCACATGGTGGAAGGAGGGAACTGACCCTGGCAAGTTCTCTGAACTCCAGATCTGAGCTATGAAATGTGTGTCACACACACACACACACACACACACACACACTAAATGTCATTAAAGAAATTGAAGTTCTAGGGCTGGAGAGATGGCTCAGCGGTTAAGAACACTGGTTGTTCTTGTAGAAGACCCGGGTTCGAATCCAGCACCCACGTGGCAGCTAACAACTGTCTGTAACTCCAGTCCTAGGGAATCTGACAGCCTCTTCTGATCTCTGTGGGCATTGCACGACACAGGTGCACTTACCTATATGCAGGCAATACATGCGTACACATAAAATAAATATAATAAATAAAAAATTATTAAAAAAATTGAAGTTCTGACTAAAATCAGAATTCAATATTTCTTTCCAAACTAGCTCTCCCCCATCTTGCACTTAGAGTGGTACCACTTACCCAGCCGCTTAGGCTTGTCTGCCCTCCCACCACCCACAAAGTCCCACAAGAACCCCCAGAATGGACGAAGCCCTGCACTAACCATCTTCCTCGCCAGCACCATCTTGACCCAAGCCACTATTCTCTTTCTGAATTAATGGAACAGATGGCTTGTTCAGTTCTATTCCTCCAACCTAGTCAGCAGCTAGAACGATCACTTCATTTTCAACTACGAAAAATGTGAAACACTTATAAGGAATCCCTTTACCTCCCATCCATCTTCAACAGCCATCAGCTCATGACCAGCCTTGTTTCATTTGTAGCCTCACCAACTTCCTTACCTTTCACATGCTATTTTAAAATGAATTTTAGGTCATAATTGTCTCTTTGTTTAGATAGGTTCTCATGTAACCTAGGCTGGTCTTGAATTTCTGATTCTTATACGTTCACCTCTGCTGGAATCATAGGTGTGTGCAATGACACCCAGTTTGTGCAGATCTGGAGACTGAACCCTGGGCTTTGTGTATGCCAGGTAAGCCCTCTACCAACGGAGCTAAATTCCTAGCCCTCCCTCATAACTGTCTTAAATTTGTTTTAAACGTGTGTGTGTGTGTGTGTAAACATGTGCACGCCATGGCACATGTGTGAACGTCAGAGGACAACTTGTGGGAGTCAGTTTTCTCCTTTTACTATGTGGATCCTGGGGACTGAACTTGGGTTCTTGGGCTTGGTCAAGTTCAAGGTCAGCCTAGGATACAAAAGAAGTCCTGTCTCAAAAAAAAAAAAAAAAGTGAGGGCTGGATTGGGACTGACAGGCGATATAATGCAGGCAAAATTAGTCTCCCAAGAGCTAGAAATCAATCAGGAATTGTTTCCCAAGCATTCATCTGTTTTCCTCTCCTGCTGTCTGTACCAGCAGATCTTTAATGATGAAACTTCTACTATTCTGGTAAATGCTTCAGAGAGACTGAGGGGGAGAGCCTTTTTTTTTCCTTGGGCCATCTTTAAACTTCACCTCCAGAGTCCCTGATTTGGTATGGGTCCTTGGTCTGGGCCAAGCTGCCTGCAGGTCCCAATTCCCTTGCCTTCCTCCTCCTGGGAGTCCAGCCAGGTTAGTCAAAGCCTTTAAGGAGCTCAGAGAGGGACATGATTAGCATGCTAATGAAATGTAAACCAGTGCTGGGTAAAGGGGCAGAAGAGAGAAATCAAAAGGCAAGTGAACAAATTGGATGGGTGTATGTGTGTACATTCCTAGATAAACAGAAAGCAGTTGAGGTTGTTGGAGAAAGGTGTTCTTCCTAAAGATCTTTGGTGGGACAGAGGAAGATAAGTTTACTGGTTCATGAGGCTTGGGTCATTTCTAAAGGTAAGGCCCCACTGCCTTTTACCATCCAGTGTTTTGGAGTTTGGGACCACCAGGAAGGACCACTCAGACTCAAAAAGTTCCAAATCAGCTGAATCTATTTACCAGGGACAACATTCTCTCCCAGCACATGGCTGGGAGAAGGAAGCTTTAGAAAGTAAACAAATACAAGATGCTAGGGGCAGCCCACAGCCTTAAAGAAAGTGTGTTTAGAAAAGGGATATGGAGAAGAAAAGGGAAGATTATGCTTTTCTGAAGAACCCAGAAAAGTGGGCAGACTCACAGACTACATGACTGTGTAGGGTCCAGAAGTTCTGCACTAGGAGGCGGAATTCCAGGCAGGAAAACTTCACTACCTCATTAACGTACTAGGTATTCCACCCATCTATTTAGCATAACCCGCCTTCCTAGAGGTGGTCCTATGACCAGATGACTGACCAGTTAAACTTAGACAAAATGGAGGCGCTCAGGCTGTTACACCAACCTGACAAGAAGAGCTGAGGATTAACATGGAGGTGCTCTTTTACCTGCCTCAGCTGCAGAACAGCCCTGCTTACAGGTGTTCAGCTCCTTCCTGGCTCTTGACTCTCAACTCTACATCATAGTTCCGAGGTGGGCTGAGCAGACCTACTCCCCCAACTCTGTAGTAACTCCCAGATCCTCTCTCTCTAATGCTTAATTCTTACAACTAGAAAAGGACCACTGATTGCTAACTAGAAATCAAAGGAGCTAAGCTTTTGGCTAGCTTGTGGGTGAGACCCCCATCAGTCCTGAGTAGGTCAGCTGATGGCTGTTTAAAATTGCAAATCTCTTCCCCACCTCCCAACCTGCCCCTCCTCTCCAGAAAAAAATTTCAATTGCAAATTTATCTCTGCCCATGCACCCCTGCCCCCATTTATTTCCCCTCACCCTTTCTTCTCAGTGCTTCTAACACACACTACTTATTAGGAGCCTTTGGCTGCCACAGGTTTTTTTTTCCTCCCTCACTTTTTCCATCCTTCCATTCTCTACTCTTCTGTCTCCTTCCCCCTCTAATCTCCATGTCCCTTTCTTTGCCCTTCCTACCTTGAACTGGAGATGACACAGAAGCATGCGCTGAACGTCAACCCCACCTACCTTACACCCAGGCCAAGATTCTTGTTCACCCTCAGTACCACTGCATTTCTCCCTGTAGCTCCCAGCTTTCCTCTGGGGCATCTTTTCTCCCATGGGATAAAGTCTCAAATGTGATAAAGGGAGAAGGCAACCATCACAAGCCCTGACATTCCAGAAGCAGAAAGAATGAAAGGACGGCAGTCAGTGTCCTGGAGGTGGGGGACAGCAGAGGAACGGGCTGGGCCTCTGCAGAGGAGAGGGGCTGCTGAGCAGGCAGTGGTGGCAGTGTGATTAGAGCTGAGATTGATGTGAAGGGGCGCCACAGACGGCAGAGAGAGTCAATAAAATGAGAGGATCACATTAGAGGCGACAGAGAGAGCTTTAAATTACAAGGCTGCTGCCACCGCGGGGGATGGAAGGAGGGAGCCCTGGAGCCACGGGAGGGTGGAGAGTTCGGAGGGTGTCGTCGTCCCCAAAGATGGATTGGCCAGCTCTAAAACAGCCCTCAGTCTCTGGAGCACCCTTGTGGTCCTTGCATTCTAGCTGCCTTTCTAATGCTCCAGTCTCTTATGAGGGTGAAGTAGAGAGGAAGGGGATGAGAGAAAGCTGTGGAGAAACAGGTCTTTCATTTTCTGGTGTCCCCTTTATCCTTCCATACCTGATTCTTCCTGCTTATTCCTGGGGATGAGAAGGGAAGGGTTAAGTGCTACTTTCAAAGCTCAGTTACTGCCCCACAAACAAAATACAGTCAATCACTGACCTGGAAGAGGTGGCCAGGGATCCAGACAACTTAGAAAAGCAAGGCTTCCTTATGCTAGGAGCCAGAGATGGAAGGAAAGAAACGCAAAGGCTTAGGTGTGAAGTTGCAGAAACAAGTGTAAAATCTTTAAGGCAGGGTTTGAGGCCCAGCAAGACAGAAGAAACCAAATGACAACTAGAGATTACCGGTGCCAAGGGGCAAGGGCCAATGGACTGAAATTAGGTTGGAGGAAGGAGAGAATCCACCCTCACTGACAAGCAAGGGAGCACGGGCTGGGCCACAGAACTGGAGGCCATGCTGGCCAACCATGCTTCCCTTTGAGCTCTACCTAGACCAGGAGTCCCCGGGGTACCATGTCCTCCCATACCTGGGGCCCTCCAGGAGGAGAAGAAACACTACTGCACTACTGCTCCCTGGTGGTCATGGAGGGAACATCACCAAAGTCCAGCTTCTCTCCAAAGACATCAGAAAAGTCTGACCCTTTCCTTTTCCTCAGCTCCAAATACAGGGCAAAAGGTTCAGGGGCAAAATCTGGTAGAAGGCAGCATCACATTTGCTTCAAATCTGCATACAGTGATTTTCATATCAGCCAGACATTTTTGCCTTTTGCATTTCTAATTGTCCATCCAAACTTCCCTTAAAATTGATTCATGATTTTTTCTTTTTAAAAATTTTCACTTTACGTGTATGAGTGTTTTGCCTCATGTATGTAAGTGTGCCTGTGTATGCTTCCATAGAGGCCAGAAGATGGGGGTTGAATCCCTTCAAACTGGAGTTAAGGGTAGTTGTTAGCTGCCATGTGGGTGCTGGGACTTGAATTGAGGTCCTCTGCTCTTAACCACTGGGGCATCTCTCCAGACCCCTCTTTATTTATTTATTTATTTATTTATTTATTTATTTATTTATTTATTTATTTATTTATGTCTCTATGGGACAATTTTTATTTATTTATTTATGTCTCTTTGAGACAGGGTCTCCCTGTAGCCCCAGCTGGCCTAGAACTCACTATGTAGAACAGGCTGGCCTTGAACTCACAGAGATCTGCCTGCCTATGCATCCCCAGTGCTGGGACTAAAGGCGTGCACCACCACACTCAGCAATTTGATTTTT